GTTTTGTATGTCACCTCAATGAATAATTGAATGACATACTCTGGTTTTGGACGAACTTTAGATATATGGTTATGGTACCACAATATGAGCTTGAGTCTCAGAGTTATTGGTTAGGGTGCGTATATGCAGTGGATGCGTGGCTAGCTATGATAGGTTGAGGTGTACCCTATTAGGTCTAGGTAATCGTGCCCACCTTTGGGTGCATTTTCACATGTTGCCTTCTATTTAGGTTGAGACCCCTATTATAGTCCAGTGAATGTCCCTTAGTGTGGATATATTTATGTATGGACTAAATAGATATTATGAGGTATCTAGGGTGTATCTGCGTATCAGCTTACTGTATGAATTATAGTTAGATTAGAACTTGTTCGTGGGCCTGATCCACTCTTTTATTCTTTCCAGGTATAGGACGGTTCCAACCTTAGAGTTTGATCATGCTTGTCGAGGACAGACTCTCATTCATCTACTTACGTAGGACTTCTCTCGATATTCTAGTTTAATTTTATTTTCTGTTTTTCAGTTCAATGGGGATTTTTATTTAGGGGTCCATTAGATGGATTCCCAAGCTGTACTCTTGGAGATTTTGGAGAATTGGGATATTATTATTCAGTATTATTTAGAGGATTTATATTTCATAGCTCTTTCCAGTTTTTTTATTTAAATTCTTAACTCTTTATATTCTGTGTTCGCTTTAAAATACTTTAATTGCTTGATATTTCCCTCGGGTTTGGGCCTGGACCTGATCAACCTGTGTCTCAGATCCGAGGGGTATCACAATTGGTATCAGAGCACTCCAGGTTCAAGTGTCTATAGGATGTTTTGTATTAAGACTTCCGCGTAGCATTTTCTCTTGAGTAGAGTTTAAGTTTAGAATTCATTGTATTCTGTTACGGTTCATTTAAACTCATACTGATGTCTGTCTTCTGTGTTAACAGAATAGTTAATGCTAGAACCAGACAGAACCGTAGACAGCGAAGGAAAGCGACACGTAGGAAGCAAGATCTCCTACAGCGTCAGCAAATGAGGGAAGAGCAACAACTGCCTAGGTTTCAGGAGGAGCAGGAGGAAGATGGTCAGTTGCACATAGAGCATGAGGAAGTTCAGCATACTCAGGAGACTCAGGATTGGGCCTACAATCAAGGTAAGAATCCAGAGTATTCTCCTCAGTTAGTTTTCATCATTGCTCAGGCTATAGCTGCAGGCATAACAACTGCATTTTAGTATTAGCCACACGTTTAGCAGACACCAGAATCAGAACCAGTGCTGCAGAATATGGTTCAAGTTCATTGTTTTGGCTGCGGAGAGGATAGGCATACATCTAACTAATGTCCTGGGTCAGCTCAGAGACAGCGGAATAGGGGACCTCAGGCGGGACGGGATCAGACTGGGGATCAGCTACAGTCTAACCAGCAGAGGAGGCCGTTTGGTACTTTTAGGGGTACGTGTTATACTTGTGGAGAGTATGGCCACACTACCAAGCAGTGCCCTAAATGAGGAGATATCAGGCCGTCCAAGCAGGAGGGTACCGAATCACAAGGAGGAAGACTCTGTTAAGAGTGATTTTAATTACTAATAGTAGAGGAGGTATTAGTAAAAGTGTAATACGAATTTAATCTCGTACACTAGGATTATGTTTAAAAATATATATATATTTCCTATTTTTCGTTTGACAGTTTATGGTTTAGAAAAGTTCTTAATAAAGTGAACTAACGGTTTTGGCATTCTTTATTATGTTTTGTGATATCATTTTTGTGATATATACACATATGGTTTTATTAGACTATATTGGGATGTGCATATTGTGATAATTGATAAATATCACAGTGGAGTGATTGGTTTTGGATAGGCAAACAAATATTTGCTTGTGGTACATTACGTTGAGATAGGACGATTACCAAGGAGTTTATAAATGAACTTGTGTAAGTCGATATGGTAGGTTTGGTTTAGAAGGAGGAATTCCCAGAATCAAACGATAATCTAAGAATGGGAAGATTGTGGAGCATTTTTGTAATACCCCTAAATTTTTAAAGGCCTTTATTTGTGTATTTTTTTTCAATTTATTTATCTACGTGGTTATTTAAATTGTTTGTACATTTGTTTTAGGATTTTATTTGTTTGTCATTAAATGTTACTTATTTAGTGTTTATTTTATTTCATTATTATTATTTTTATGTACTTAGATTAATTGAATTGTTTTGGAGTATCTAATTATTTGTCATTTCAATGTTAATTATTTAATAGAAATTCTTTAGTTAATTGTAAATTTTTCATTGAGGTTATTTTATTTATTTTTTATTATTATTATTTTTAGTTAGTTGTAGGTTAATATATATATATTAAGGTGTTATATATATATATATATAAATGGTTAGTTTATTATAAATATATATTTATATACACTATATTAAGGTGTTATATTTATGTAAATATTTATTTACATTTATATAAATGTTATTTACATGGTGACTTATCAAATAAATAAAATAAATGAATAAATGTTATTTATCTAGTGGACAAGGTCAGTGTACAGGTGGGCTTTGTGGTTTGTTATTATATATATATTTTTTTATTATTAGTTTTGTACAATATTAGTGTGATGGATGGGTAGTGATATGGTGTGGTTGGATGTAAGTGGGTTAGTGTAGAATCACTTAGGTTATATTACATAATTATAGATTTGTATATATATATTATATAGATGTTTAGGTTCTGGGTGATATTCAATACTAGAACAGAAATGGAATAGTGAAAAAAAAACAAACAAACACAGAGCGGCGGCGTGAAAGAGGGGAAAGAAGAGAGGAAAAAGGGAGAAAAAAGAAGAAGGGATTTGTGAGGCCGAATTAAGAGGAGTAGGCAGGAGGCTGTGTAGGCGATAACCGGAACGGCAAGGCTAGTTAACGGCGACCCGAAGGCCACCGGCGTCAAGGGAAATTGGTGATGAACAGTGTTGAATTTTGACCCGAAAATAAAAGGCAAGTCCTTGTTCTATTCGTTCTCTTAGATTGCGTGATCGGTTCATCTCTAGAATGATGTTAGGATTTAATTGTAAATATGAATCAACAGAGAGTATGAAATTATATTGGTATATATATATATATGTATATATATATTCATGAGCATAGTTATTATTTTCTGAAATTTAGATGTACCTATGCATGATTGAGTGCTTTAAATATAGTTTACCAAGCTTAGTATGAATTTTAGAGATCATTCTGGACATAGTGTTTTAAATCTATTTTACCAAGCTTAGGATGGAGGAGCCGACTCATGCTGGGAATTGGGTTCTTTGGGGCTTACGAAATCCCTGTGACCATACTGAAGTGGGTTATTTGAGGTTGTGAAATCATGTGACCACAGAGGGTATCCGTGGTGAACTGGGCATCCACTGTTTGTGTAATTGTATTCTATCATGTGAGCAATTTAATATCAAGCTATAGTAGCATTTACAGGTTGTGTAATTATATTATAGCATGTGGGCAATTTAATATCAAGCTATGGTAGCGTTTACAGTTTGTGTAATTATATTATAGCATGTGGGCAATTTAATATCAATCTAAGGTAGCATCTACAGGTGGGGTAATTTTAATAGTATGTTGACATTTTATTATCATAGTGTGGTTAGAAAAAAATTATTGTAGAGATAATGCTATTATAATTGTTCAGGAAATGATAAATGGCATTGGTTGCATTTTAAGTTATTAGCATGAAACTTTTAATAGCTTGAAAATTTATTTTTATATATTTTGGTGGTAATATAATAATTGATCACGCAAATGTTAATATAAATAATGTTAATTGTATTAAGTTAATCGCATGATAAGTATAGAAGTCTATGCCGTCATTTAAAATACTCCGATAAAATTCTATTAATAATGTATATTAATTTTTAGTATACATACTTGTATAGGAGTGTATAATGGAGGACCATTATTAGGATATGGTCTTAGCAGCATCATTGTTAGGATATAGTTTGCTGACATATATATGGGCTAACTTTTAAGTCTAGACCTATACGTTTTGTCAGGATATGGTTATGACCTTTAATTGTGCCATTGTCAGGATATGGCTACAGTTACTTAAATATATTTTAATTAGGTACCATGATACGAGCATGAGATCTCGGGATTGATGGTTAGGGTTGGCGTATACTGCCATATGAGATGAGTAGCTGGTTATAGGGATGTGTGTGCCCTGGTAGAAGAGGTACTCATGACCACCTTGTGTGCGCTTGCATGAGACCTACTATTCGGTTGAGGCTGTCTTATGATCCAGTAAAAGTCTATAGTGTGTATACTTATGTATATTGACCTACGTAGTTATTGCATGAGTCAGACTAGGATGTACCGTTTCTCGGGTCTCTATTTGGGATGTAGTAGAAATGGCTTGTTCGTGGGTTTTAACCCACCTTTGTTGTTATCTTTTCAGGTCCTCGACAGTTCGAGACATAGAGTCAGTTCATGCAGAGCAGAGGCCAGACTTCATCACTCTTCCGGCGTCGTAGACGTAGGACCTCCACTATGTTTTCGCTATCATTTATTATTTCTGAGTTAGACAATTATTTGTTTCATCTTTAGTTGGGATTTTTATTAGGGGTCTACATTGTATGGATTCCCAAGTTGTACTCTGGAGGTTTTATTCTTATAATGAGAATTTATTGGAGATTAATGTATTAGAGGATTTACTATTTAATTATTAATTTAGATTTTCCTTTCAGCGTTATTTATTTATTTAATTTTTTTTCCCCTTGTATTCTGTGCTTGTTTATTATTAGTTGGCTGATATTCCTTGATTTTGTGCGCGGACCTGATCAACCCGTGTTCCGAAGTTAGGGGGTGTCACAGTTGGTATCAGAGCACTCCAGGTTCAAGTGTCTCTAGGGTTCTTCCGTATAAGACTTCCGCGTAGTGTATTCTTTTATTAGAGCTTAAGTATAGGATTCATTGTATTCCTTTATGGTTCGCTTAAATTATACTAAAGTCTGTCTTTCGTGTTAACAGAATGGTTAATGCTGGAAGAAAATGGGAAAGGCAGCAGAAGAGAGCGGCGCGTAGACAGCGGGATCGTCTGCGACATCAGTAGGTTGCAGAGGAGCAACAACTGCCTAGGTTTCAAGAGGAGGAGCAGCAGCAGCAGCAGGCTCAGGAGTCTCGGGATCAGAACGAACATTAGGGTAGGTATCCTGAGTATCCTCCTCAGTTAGCTGACATCTTTTCTCAGGCTGTAGTAGCAGGCGTAGCATCTGCACTCTAGAATCAGCCACAGGTTCAGCAAGCACCTGTGCCAGTACGGGTAGTTCAGGCTAGCCCTTGGGAGAAGGCTAAGAGTTCTTTCACAAAGGGGAGCCCACCTCAGTTCTCAGGCTCCACCGATGTGAGTGTGGCTTATCAGTGGAAGAAGGACATAGAGCGTCATCTTCGCTTGGTTGAGTGCACGGAGGTGCAGAAACAGATGCTTGCTACCTTCAAGCTTGTAGGGGATGCACTCCAGTGGTGGGAGTCAGCTACCACCATAGAGGAGAGAACTTCATTAACTTATGATCAGTTTAGTGCTCGTTTTGATAAGAAGTATTTTTCATATGCAATCAGAGCAGCTATGAAGAAGGAGTTTCTTAACTTAGATCAGGGGAACATGACAGTAGCAGAGTATAAGCAGCAGTTTGCACGCTTATCTCTATTTGCTCCAGAAGAGGTGGATACCGAGATGAAGAAACGTACTAGCTTTGTTAAGGGGCTGACCTGGTCAATTAAGCAAGTTATTACAGGAAGTCCAGCCTACACTACTTATGCTCAAGTGGTGGATGCCGCTTTACAGCTTTATCAGTTGAATGTGGAATTCAGACAGACTAGGGGTGAGAAGCGGGGTGACAGAGACTCTGTTAATCAGCCAGCTGAAAAAGGATATGGTAATGGGCATAGACAGAATGATAAGAGCAGATTTCAGGGACAACAGCCTTGGAAGAAGCATAAGAATGGTTCAGATGCTCAGAGAAATGGGGCACCTATTCAGAGGCAGCAGAATAGGGCACCACAAACAATAGAGGGTCAACCTCAGGGTAACCATCACAAGAAACAATTTGGTCCTTTCAGAGGCTTTTGTTATGGTTGTAGAGAGCTCGGACACACTGCCAAGAGGTGTCCCAGGGCTATGCAGGGACATCATGTGCAGCAGGGGCAGCGACCACCATTTCCTTTACCTGCTCCACAGGTGCCACGCATTCAGGGACAAGTGTTCCCGGCTTTACCAGCGCCACCGCCACCACGGGGATAGGCACCGCAGCAGTTACACTATGGCAGGGTGTATAACCATATGCCATATGACGTTCAGACTTCTCAAGCTATTGAGGGTATGTTTCCTATACACGGTATATATGGCCGTGTTTTGTTTGATACAGGTGCTGCACATTCCTTTGTGTCTAGTTCATTTATTGTCTTATCTGGAATGACTACACAGTTATGTGACTGACCCTATAGTATTGGTACACCTTTAGGTGTTACTTCTATTTTGTATGAGTATGATGAACCTGTGACACTAGATATTGGTAGACTTAGATTTCTAGCCAACCTATTGGTCTTGGACATGCATTCGTATGATGTAATACTTGGGATGGATTGGTTATCTCATTACCATGCTCAGGTTAATTGTCACGATAAGTCTATTGTGTTTGCTATACCGGGTCAGGATATGTATATTATTGCTATGCCACATTCTAACGGGGTATCTAGCACTCATTTGTTGTATATTGAGGAGGAGTCTGAAGAGGAGATTACTGTAGCACTAGATAGTATACCGATTGTACAGGAATTTTCAGATGTATTTCAAGAGATTCCAGGGTTGCCACCGAGTCGAGAGATAGACTTCGTGATTGATCTAGTTCCAGGCACTACACCTATTGCTAGGGCACCATACAGGATGGCACCATTGGAAATGCGAGAGCTGAAGGATCAAATTCAGCAACTTCTTAGTCAGGGTTTCATTCGTAGAAGTACCTCACCTTAGGGAGCATCGGTGTTGTTTGTGAAGAAGAAGGATGGTTCACTTCGCCTGTGTGTAGATTACAGGGATTTGAACAAGGTTACTATTCGTAACAAGTATCCTTTACCCAGAATTAATACTTATTTGATCAGTTGAAGGGAGCTACGTACTTTTCCAAGATTGATTTGCGATCTGGCTATCATCAGCTTCGAGTTAGGGAATATGATGTTCCTAAGACAGCATTTCTAACTAGATATGGATCTTATGAATTTCGGGTCATGCCTTTTGGGTTGACTAATGCGCCAGCTGTCTTTATGGATTTGATGAACAGGGTTTTCAGGGCTTATTTAGATCAGTTTGGCAACAAGAAGTGAAGTTTCTGGGTCACGTGGTGTCAGAGAAGGGAATAGCGGTGGATCCAGCCAAGGTCTCAGCTATTTTAGAGTGGGGACAGCCTACCTCACCCACTGAGATTCGCAGCTTTCTGGGACTGGCCGGATATTATCGCAGATTCATTCAGGGGTTTTCGAAGATGGCAAGACCACTCACCCATCTGACTAAGAAGGGGGTACCATTTGTGTGGGATAAGCATTGTCAGACTGCATTTGACACATTGAAGAGTAAGTTGACTTCTACACCTGTTCTAGCTACTCCCCAGAGTGGGATAGAGTATCTTATCTACACAGATGCTTCTTTGTAGGGTCTGGGATGTGTTTTAATGCAGGAGGAGCGACCAGTTTCTTATGGGTCTCATAAGCTTAAGCCTCATGAGCTTAACTATCCAACGCACGATTTGGAGTTAGCAGCTGTGGTCTTTGCTTTACGTATTTAGAGGCATTATCTGTTGGGGGAGTCCTTCAGACTATTCAGTGACCACAAGAGTTTCCAGTACCTTTTCACGCAGAAAGAGCTGAATATGAGACAACATAGGTGGTTAGAGTGTGTGAAAGATTACCATTTCTCTATACAGTATCACCCAGGGAAAGCGAATGTAGTCGCAGATGCACTCAGTCGCTGACCTAATGCCAGTCTTTCTGTGATGTTTGCTACATAATGGAATGCTTTCAAGACTGTAGATGAGTTGTCTGATACTTTTGTGGCGTGCATAGTAATTACACCTGCTATCATCCACAAAGTATTGAATGCACAACTTATGGATCAACAGTGCATCAATAAAGTTATGGAGTTAGCTTCTGGTGATGTTCCATTTTACTCTGCTGGGGCAGATGGGGGCTTAAGGTACAAAGGTCGCTTAGTCGTACCTTCTGCTAATGATTTGAGAAAAGATGTGATGACGGAGGTTCACAAATCTGAGTTCTCCATCCATCCAGGTGGAGATAAGATGTATCAAGACATGAAGCGACAATTTTGGTGGGCAGGTATGAAGAGAGATATAGCTATCTTTGTCTCTAAGTGTAGTACCTGTCAGATGGTCAAGATTAATCATCAGCGACCGCCTGGTTCTTTGCAGCCACTTCTTATACCGGAGTGGAAATGGGAGAGTATCTCTATAGATTTTGTGGAAGGGTTACCTAATTCCAACAGGAATCACAATTCTATTTGGGTCATTGTTGATAGGTTGACCAAATCAGCTCATTTCTTGCCTATTCGCACTGATTTCACTTCAGAACAGTTGACGAGGCTGTACATTGCAGAGATTGTGAAGTTGCATGGCATACTGATGTTTATTATATCAGACAGGGACCTGAGCTTTGTATCGGGATTTTGGGGGAGTTTCCAGCAGGCTTTAGGTACCGAACTACATCTTAGCATTGCTTATCATCCTCAGACTGATGGGCAGACCGAGAGGGTCAATCAGATCATGGAAGATATGCTGCATTCTTGTGTCCTTGATTTTAAGGGCAACTGGGAAGATTATTTGCCACTTGTAGAGTTTGCCTATAATAATAGTTTTCAGAAGACTATTGGTATGGCACCGTTTGAGGCATTGTACGGCCGACCATGTCGATCTCCTGTTTATTGGTTAGAGGTCGATGAGAGCAAATTTCTAGGTCCTGAATTTATTAAGGATACCTCTAAGAAGATTGCTCTTATTCGTGACCATATGCGCACTGCCCAGAGTAGGCAAAAGAGTTATGCAGATCATCGTACTTGCAGTTTAGAGTTTTAGGTAGGGGATCAGGTGTTGCTCAAAGTGTCTCCCATGAAGGGCGTAATGCGCTTTGGGAAAAAGGAAAAGTTGTTACCACGTTTTGTCGGTCCTTTTATGATTACGGATCGAGTGGGAGCTGTAGCTTATCGGTTAGCACTTCCGGATCATCTACATCGGGTCCATAATGTCTTTCATGTGTCCATGTTGCAGAAATCTTTACAAGACGAGGATCGCTATCAGCATATAGATGTTGGCGAGATTGAGTTGCAGCCAGATGCGACATATGTTGAGCCACCATGCCGTATTCTTGATCGCCGTGATCAAGTACTTCGCAACAAGATTATTTCTCTTGTGCGGGTTCAGTGGAGCCATCATAATGAGGCCGAGTCCACTTGGGAACGAGAAGATGTCATCCGTTTAAAATTTCCCGAATTGCTGAAATAAGGTAAAAGGTGAATTCCAAGAACAGAATTCCTTTTATTAGAGGGGAAGAATGTAATACCCCTAAATTTTTAAAGGCCTTTATTTGTTTTTTTTTTTTTCAATTTATTTATCTACGTGGTTATTTAAATTGTTTGTGCATTTGTTTTAGGATTTTATTTGTTTGTCATTAAATGTTACTTATTTAGTGTTTATTTTATTTCATCATTATTATTATTATTTTTTTTATGTACTTAGACTAATTGAATTGTTTTGGAGTATTTAATAATTTGTCATTTCAATGTTAATTATTTAATAGAAATTCTTTAGTTAATTGTAAATTTTTCATTGAGGTTATTTTATTTATTTTTTATTATTATTATTTTTAGTTAGTTGTAGGTTAATATATATATATATATATATATATATATATATAAATGGTTAGTTTATTATAAATATATATTTATATACACTATATTAAGGTGTTATATTTATGTAAATGTTTATTTACATTTATATAAATGTTATTTACATGGTGACTTATCAAATAAATAAAATAAATGAATAAATGTTATTTATCTGGTGGACAAGGTCAGTGTACAGGTGGGCTTTGTGGTTTGTTAGTATATATATTTTTATTATTATTAGTTTTGTACAATATTAGTGTGATGGATGGGTAGTGATATGATGTGGTTGGATGTAAGTGGGTTAGTGTAGAATCACTTAGGTTATATTACATAATTATAGATTTGTATATATATATTATATAGATGTTTAGGTTCTGGATGATATTCAATACTAGAACAGAAACGGAACAGTGAAAAAAAACAAACAAACACAGAGCGGCGGCGTGAAAGAGGGGAAAGAAGAGAGGAAAAAGGGAGAAAAAAGAAGAAGGGATTTGTGAGGCCGAATTAAGAGGAGTAGGCAGGAGGCTGTGTAGGCGATAACCAAAACGGCAAGGCTAGTTAACGACGACCCGAAGGCCGCCGGCGTCAAGGGAAATTGGTGACGAACAGTGTTGAATTTTGACCCGAAAATAAAAGGCAAGTCCTTGTTCTATTCATTCTCTTAGATTGCGTGATCGGTTCATCTCTAGAATGATGTTAGGATTTAATTGTATATATGAATCAACAGAGAGTATGAAATCTCTAGAATGATGTTAGGATTTAATTGTATATATGAATCAACAGAGAGTATGAAATTATATTGGTATATATATATATCTATATATATATATATGTATATATATTCATGAGCATAGTTATTATTTTCTGAAATTTAGATGTACCTATGCATGATTGAGTGCTTTAAATTTAGTTTACCAAGCTTAGTATGAATTTTAGAGATCATTCTGGACATAGTGTTTTAAATCTATTTTACCAAGCTTAGGATGGAGGAGCCGACTCATGCTGGGAGTTGGGTTCTTTGGGGCTTACGAAATCCCTGTGACCATACTGAAGTGGGTTATTTGAGGTTGTGAAATCATGTGACCACAGAGGGTATCCGTGGTGAACTGGGCATCCACTGTTTGTGTAATTGTATTATATCATGTGGGCAATTTAATATCAAGCTATAGTAGCATTTACAGGTTGTGTAGTTATATTATAGCATGTGGGCAATTTAATATCAAGCTATGGTAGCGTTTATAGTTTGTGTAATTATATTATAGTATGTGGGCAATTTAATATCAATCTAAGGTAGCACCTACAGGTGGGGTAATTTTAATAGTATGTTGACATTTTATTATCATAGTGTGGTTAGAAAAAAATTATTGTAGAGATAATGCTATTATAATTGTTCAGGAAACGATAAATGGCATTGGTTGCATTTTAAGT